AGGCTGCACCTCCTCCTGGTCCTGCTGGATGTCCTTCAGGGTAAACCAAGCTAGCATCTGCCCCAGTGTTTGGAGTTATAGTTGCTTCCTCCCTATTGACTGGCTTCACTGACCACTTGATAATTTTCCCTTTAAGTGAAACCAAATTTTCGCAATAGATCCTAAAATCATTGTCCTGACCCTGTGCCTGCAGGTGTGACTGGGCAAAGTCAGGCAGCTGTTTGGGTGTGGTCTGTCTGGCTTGTGTTTGCCATCACATTTTTATGTGGCTTTATGACCAATACAGGTTACAGGTGGCCACACAAACAAGTTCATTTTATTTGCAGGATTACATGGTCCTTAGGGACATGAGGGACCACAAAAGACTGGTGGAAGAGTAAATGGATGTTTTCAGGCTGGAGTTCACAAACATGGACTTTTGTGGCTTGCAATGGTGTCACACTTCCACCATGAGTGACTGCCTCTCCAATCAGTCCCACACATGTCAGTGTGGGACACTGACATCAGCCTACAAGCAACTGATGTGAGAAGTGAGGAGGGTGAGAAACCCCTGCCCTCCATGAGTGTGGCCAACTGCCAGCAATGCCATCAGTACCTATTCTGGCTACCAGAGATCTTCTAACCCATAGTTACATGGTTGCGAAGGTCCCAAATAAACGTTCACCACATCCAAATGGGTGGAGATGGGTGCTCTGTATATCTCAGAAGAGAGTTGCCTCCTACCATCACCCACCGCCTTTTCTTAATTCTGCTGGTTGCTACACTGGGAGCAGATCAGGCTGCCTTACTCAGCTCCAGTGCCTCTGCTGATGTGACAGGTCCTTCCTCTTCAGTCTGTGGAGTGGTTCTGCAAGGGGACCTCAGGCTTTGGGGAAATCTCTTCTTCCTGCAAGTCCTTGCTGTTGCAAGCTTCCATTCTTCTGCATTACTGACCCCCTTCCTTCTGTGTGCACCACTGGGGGAGGTTTTGGCTGTTGGTTTGTGAGTTCTGGATCCATTGCAGACCGTGCTTGGAAAAACTATCTAACTCCTTCTCAACCTCCCTGATGTTACTCAGCCTTCTCACTGCCTCCTGCAGCTCAGCACTTTCTGCAGGAGGTCCTCCACCTGGGCACACCTTTTGCAGGATGGTCTGTTGCCTGTCCCTGCCCAGGAGAAAGATCTCTCCCCTTCCAGCAATCACAGGTTTGTACTGCAGCCTCTCCCATCAGCAGCTCTCTCTGGGTGGAGGCATTAGCCCCCACTGGGGTAGATGGTGCAGAATCCCCAACCAAAACTGCAGCCTTTTCTCTTAAACAGCACTCATCTGATATTTAATTAAAGACAACGAGCAGGGAGACACAAATCTACAGAAAACCAGTCCTTATTGATTTTGCTGCACTCAGAGTTGTATGCTTTCTGCCATATCCATTAAGACAGGGACTAGTAATGTCTCACAGTCAAATGAATTATATGTATTTAATGCTGAAGACGGGAAAAGAAAATTTACTTGAGCACAGAGATGCAGCCACTGGGATGGAGTGATCACAGAACACATTTCTGTGTATCTAATGAGCACAAATGTGTCTAAGCCAATTGTTCCCTAAACCATTAGTGTTAGTAGCAGTCTGCCTGGGAGTATGAATATGCAGAACCCTCTCCCTGCCTCACTGGTTATTTCCTCAGTGTGGTGGCATAGCTGTTGCTATTGTAGTTACAACTCCAACTCAGGCACTAATAAATTACAAAGTAAAACATTCCATGTCCTGCTGCCAAAAAATGTTATCTGACAGAGCTGGGAAATCCCGACCTAGGAAAACTAAATTTCACCTTCCAGGTCCAGTGGAGTAGCACACAGGACTCAGCAGCTGATTTAAAATACAGCTCACCACAGTTAATCCTGACTTTCTGCACAAGAACATGATATTTACAGCAAATAAAATTTAAGAGTTAACTGGCAAACAAATTTAACTATGGTCATACTGCTAGTCTCACAACTAACAACAGCTCTCTAAAGGAAGCCCAGGCTGTCACTATGCCAGGGCTGTGGATGGACCCAGCCATAATGGTGGAAGATGCTGTCCCCAGCTGCCTGCCTGCAGCCGCCTGCCAGAGATTAGCCACATGAAATCTCACACAAGTGCTTTTTAACCCATTTCAGCCAGAACAAGCTCCATCAGCTTGTGCATCTCATTTTTGATAACCTGATGCCTATGCTTGCAACAGTGTACATGAAAAAACAGAATCTCAGAACCACAGAATCACTTAGGTTGGGAAAGATCTTTAAGATCATCAAGTCCAACAGTTAGCTTAGCACTGCCAAGTTCAACACTAAGCCGTACATGTGACTTCTACCTCTGGGCGGATGGTGACTCAACCATGTCCCTGGCCTTGACACTCCCTCATCCCAGCAGAGGCCCCACATATTCAGTGAGAAAGGGTTTACTTCCTTACCCAAATAGCAGAAGAAAAAGATGCCAAGAAGGATAAGGATATCTTTATTGCTACTGATATGTGGCATAATTCCAATTAATGTTAAAGAGTGGGGCCAGTGGAGACTACTTGAATCACATTTCTCTAAGAACTTCTTGTAGTTTAAGCTCTTCCTTCTTCAACTCAAGGCTATTGTGCCTCTACTACCACCTATGGGAATGCTTAGATAGGAGACAAAAACCATCTGCAAGTTGTAGTGATGGGCAGCTGAGGACTGGCTAATGATCAATAGCTTCTACTAGTACAGCTATTTGTAGAGTTCATATCTGCCTAGTAAACAAAACCTGTAAGCTTATACTTTAAAAAGTTTGAAAACTCCAACAGCTATCACTGCAATATTTTTTTCTCATTGTACCTGGTAATTTTTCAACACTAAATTCTAAATCACAGCTAAGTACCAGATGCTGTGATATGATCCTTCCCAGATGTAAAACCTCCAGAGGTTCCATGTCTACAATGTAAAAGGTACTCAGGAATATCCTCTTTCATTTAATAGTAGTCCTGGAAATCTTTCATCTGGTCATTCCGGTATAAAGTGTAACCAGACAGTACACACATGTAGTTTCACTAGAAAGTGAACAGCCGTTTATAACCCAGGGAACACTGCAGATCAGGAGCACAAACACACAAACAATAAGTCATTAACTGGGTGCTTTAGAGACACACTCTGAGATAACTCTGTCCTTTAATGCTACAGTTCTACGATTTCATTTTCCCAGCTAACACAAGTTTATTTGATAGGCACTGCAGTAAGCTCATAGTTATATAGCCAGATCTATCCTGGCTGCCATAGTAAGGGAAAGGATGGACAGAAGAAATGACACAGGAATCTCTCCTATCATAGGTTCCTTTACTTTTTACCTGCTACCAGTGAGCACTTGCCAATTTGTATTTTCTACCACCTGCATGATAAATGATAGCCTCTCAAATGTGTGTAAGAATCAAAGATAGACAATTAAGTTTACCTGTCAAGGGAATGTGGGAGAAGGAAAATAAAGTGAGAGCAATTCAGACCTGTGAGTTTGATGCCTACCTAGAGTAAACCCAACTATGTAAATAATGCTTCTTGTCACCATTTGAGGTAGAAACAATTGGACAACTCTGATTCCTGTAAGATGTATGGGCTTTCAATAACTCCTATGCTTTGATAATGAGTTTTGCAAGTTTAACCAGCTTCTTTTTCTCTCTTGTGTTGATAAATACTTCTCTTACTCAGACTGTGGAAATACAATAATGAGAATAAACACCTTCCTGTGCTCTATCACCAGTTTTTTGTTACTCAAGGTTGTTTCAAATTAACAAAAATAAGGAGTGAAGGAAACTGGACGAATGGGCAGTAATGTCAATCCAATTACCAAGTGTGTAACTTTGGTATCTTTCATGATTGCGTAGCCATCCATTGAGCCTGGATGCTCAACCACCACTCACTTCAGATTTAGATTTCTGTGCCAGCCTGGGGACTGCTGCTTGTTTTTTGAGGTGAGTCAAAGGAGTACGCCTCAGCAAACAGGCCTCTGGAGGCTTCTCTCAGAACAGAGCAACCAGAGCTTTTCAGCCTTTGGCCCTTCAGTTGTGCATTTCTACCTGAAACTGGACAGACCAGGGCTAGGGGCTCCTTCCCTGAGAGAGGCATAACCCAACACAACAGGCAATTATTGACCTGCGCAACCTCTGCCAGGTGATACCATCCAGATGGCTGCTGAGAAAAGAGCAGGACAATCTCCCTTACCAAAAACTGGGGTCTACGACCCGTATATCTGTTAGCGTCAGAATTGACACATAACCACCGGAATGGTTATATGAGGTGCTTTACTGCAGCGCTGGGAAATTAGGGGCACGCACCCAAATCTGGCTTCGACCCCGTCACATCGCATTCGCAATTTATACATTAAAATTTCGTAAGTAATACATATGCATCAAGGATTACTTCATTAGCCCATTACGACATCAGCCTCTTCTACGCTTGCGCAGCCCCCTCTGGTGGTCGTCCCGATGAAGTAAGGAGTCTTCCTCCCCTTAGTCTTTTCACCTTTCTGCTCTTTGGACAGGCCCCAACCATTATGTGGATGTCAGCATTCTCGCCTGGCTTGTCCTTTTATGTTGCAATGATTTCACAAAGCTACCAATATTGCAGAGATGAAACTTTCTGCTGCTTAAGATACATGGTTTCCATTTCTAGACAAAGCTTCCTTGTAAGTACTACAAAATTTATGAATGTCTGTATTATCAAGACGCACAGTTAGACAAGGCTTCCCTGTTCTAAACTACAAGGTCTTAGGCCAGCCATCCTGTATCTTTCTCGTTGTTACGTTAGTTTCTACTGCTGAGGCTACCACAGCAAAGTTATAGCATTCTTTTAATAAACAGAAGTCTACTATTGATTCAAACACTTTTCAAATATAGTAATTTCTCTTGCTCTATATAATCATATTAACGTGAAATTTCACTCTTTTTCTACCACATCCACCTGACCCGCCGTAACAACGTCCGCCTTACCCATCCCCTCAACAAGACCCGTCAAAGCCGCGCAGGCGCAGTGAAGAGACAGAGAGCTGAGCTCCGCCTCTCGACGCCCCGTGAGCTCTGCGGCGTCCCGTAGCGGCAGCGGGGTGCTAGCGAGATGGCGGCGCAGAAGATCAACGAAGCACTCGAGCACATCGCTAAAGCGGAGAAATAGTGAGCGGAGGGGAGGGAGGCCGGGGAGGGGAGAAGTTGGTGAGCGGGTGCGATGGTTGCCAGTTCATCGTTCGGGCTGTCAGGCCTGCCCGGCTCTCCTGCCCCACGGAGGCGGCGTACCGCCTCCTGCTCGAGCGGGGCTCCGCGGTATCGCGCTGCTTTCTGCTGCGGTCGTCCTCCGCGGCCTCCGAGCGCGGGGGCTGCTGTCCGCCCGGTTAGTGCGGCCGCTCGACATTCCCCCTCCCCAACTCCGGGCTGCGACGGGGAACTGTAGTTCTCGCCGGCGCCCGTTCGGGGAGTGGAGGCCTCGGGGGAACTACAGCTCCCATGGTACCGTGCGCGGAGCCTTGAGGAGGGGTAGCCTGGTGGGAGGTGGTGGCCGCACGGAGAGGCTGAGGGGGGACAGCAAGTGCCAGGTTATGGGAGCTCCGGGGAATGGGAGGGAGGTGCGGGGCTGGGGTAGGCCGGCGCGGAGGGAGTAGAAGAACACGGCTGTTTGGCCTCTGTTCTGCCTCAGAGGTCTCTCCCTACAGGGGCTGCGTACTAGAGGTCACCCTTCTTCCCCTATCTGGGAGAGTAAAGCAGTCCTGAAAACTAAGAAGTCGGTGAGCCTTGAGGGCTGGAGCCTGAGTAGTTTCCTTAAGGGCCATGTAGCCTTTATTGCTCTGATCCTAACTGGAAGGCCAAGGAGTCACTTCTGGTCTTCTGCTAAAGTTAGTGGGAGAAAGACAAGTGGGAGAAACGCGTTATGGGGATTCTGATGAATAAAAGTTTAGACCTGCTGAGATGGGCTGTGTGTTTGTTTCCTGGCCATGAGAACTCTCTCATTGTTTCTTTTTAGATGGCTTCCAAGACCTGTGCTGACACTTACTTTAGAGGGCTTAATATCTCCATGTGATGGTCTTTTAATGTGTATTTTAACACTGAATGTAGCAATTTTGTTTATAAGTTTGAATTTCAAAGACTACAGTGTAGATGTAATAGATCTGACTGATCCAAAGATGCTATAGTTTTAATAAGAATAGTGACGGGCCATCAGGAAATCACGGATCAAAAGTATAAACTGTGATAGAGGAGAGACTTCAGAATAAAAACATCTGTATCTGATTATCTTACTCAAATTAGTTGACCAAAAGTGCCTTTCAGTGAAATTCATTTTAAGCTTATCCTGACAAGCATTTGAAATAAAAGGTGCCTACATCTCAAATTGTGTGTGGATTAAAGCATTGTCTATTTCAGCTCAATGCATTTGAGACTTTGCCTGTGTTTAAAACAACACAATGTAAAGACTTGATTTAGAGGTACTGTGGTTTTCGGCCAAGTAAAACAACAAAACCAATGCAAAGTCTATATACAATGGTTTTTCCAAATTAAGCATGAAGTGTCTGCCTACAACAGATGTGGAAGTTAACTGTGAAGTTATGGTAATTTTTGTATTTGTTTTGGAATTGAAGAAGTCCTAATATTGAAGTCAGCATTGCCTAGTGACTCACCTCATTTTGCAGGGTTTTTCTTTCCTATATATATGTTCTGTGAGTGCACATGGTGCCATTTAGTGTCATCTCCTATTGTAGACTTATAAATTATATATAAGGCTTTGTCTTTGTGTTGGTAAGTAAATGCTTTCATTTGTGAATGCAGTGGGGAGTCTTTGATAATTCTCAGCAGCAAAAAAATTGCTGTAGAGGTACACTAACATCTTTACGATGTGTAGCAAAAAAAATATTGTCAGGTTTTGTGGTGTTAGAAATCTTGAGATGCCATGTTGGTGTAGGTGGGATAATTTTTCTTCTGTTGACTAATTACAGTTGAAGAGCTGGACTTGTGAAGACTCTAGGGATGATGGAAGCATGTTAGGGGAGACATAACTATGGGAGATCACTGCAGTGCTTTATGCAATTCTGAACAATAAGCAGCATTTATTTTTACAGTAGCGATGCCACCATACTACTGGCATATAGGTGGTTGCTTCTTTTCACACGTAGTCTACAGTTTTGAGTATATCTGAAGTGCTTTGAAGGTAAAACATAAAATCTTCACTAATTGCTAATAGGCCTTTCTTCTTGCATTTCAGTCTGAAAACTGGATTCTTAAAGTGGAAACCAGATTATGACAGTGCAGCTACCGAATATGGGAAGGCAGGTATGCATAGCTGTAAATATGGCCATATACTTTACAGTTTCAAAGTATTCTTTAATACTGGTAATAATACTGGTAGAATTTTACATATTTTCAGTACATTGCTGTGTAGGTAAAACCGTTGTGAAGACAGTTCAACAACAAATACTCTTAGTAGCATGGTAAATTAAATTACAGATTGTACTTGGAGATCTCTAACAGTTGTCAGAACTTTTTTTTTTCCAAGCCTATAACTTCTACTTTGTATATTACTGCTTGTGATAAATATAAAGCTTTCCTTCTATCACTTGTCTGTCCTCTGAAATCTATGACTTTACCTACAAAATACAAATATTTGAGCTGGTTTTAAAACTTCTCTTTTTCATCATATTAGGAAACATGTCCTGACAAAGACTGTCTCAGTAAGAGAGGTGCTGCCAGGGTTCTTTTTAGGCATAGTAAGATCTTTTTCATCCTTTTTTCCCCACTACACGTGTTACAATGAATATAAAATTCTTACTAATTGAGTCCTTTTTGCTCTTAAACAATTTTTTTTCTTTTTTTTTATAAGAGTTATGTATCATGGGTTTTTTTTTGGCCTTTTGCTCTAGGCATTCTTACTCATTCATTTAAGCCTGAATAGAAATAAACCCATAAACTTGGAAAGGCAACTGGAACATTTATAAATTGAAATTTATTTTAAATCCTACTTTAAAATCCTATCAGCCTAATGGGAATAAAATACTTATTTGTGCCCTGAAATAATTGTATTGAGGAAGCTGTTATAGGTATGCTTTGTTGATAGTGCAGTTATATTTCTGCCATACTGATTTTGTAGAATCTCTAATGATTAAATCTGTATACACATGCATTCCTGCAGTTCAGTCATTAAAATACAGAATGAGTTCTAAAATCCAGCTAAACATGTTATACACAATGTGTGGTACAATGATAGTATGGACGTGTTGTTGGTAATAAATGTTTTTAATGGTGACTAAGTGACTAATGAAGCAAGGAGGAATGTCATAGGATTTTTTTGGAAGATCTTGGTAAACTGTAACCATTCATTAATGAGTCTGTTTGTATCTTTAGGTGGCTAAATTCTTGAGCAGAAGTGGTGATAAAATGAAATCTACAAGATGTAAATAAGAACTTTATTTGATTTCTTGCAGCTGTTGCTTTTAAGAACGCCAAGCAGTTTGACCAGGCAAGGGAAGCCTGCTTACGGGAAGCTGAGGCGCATGAAAACAATAAAGCGTATCTTTTCATTAAATGCTAGTCTTTTTTTTCAAGAAGCTGACTAATTGCTACTTAGGATGGTGTAAGAGGAGTTGGGAGAAGATGTATTTAATATATTTGCACGTTTGGTCAAGCTAACAAAATTGACTTCTAAAAGACACTTTCTATGTTCTCTGAGTGGCAAAACTAAAAAATTCTTCTGCTTAAAAAAATCTGTGTTTTTTCCCGTAACAAGTGGAGTGATAAGATGCTGACCAATGCCTGAGATGTCTGCATACTGCTTCAGAAATTACAGCTTTGTTTATTCTTAAATACCTGGAAGTGGATAGTATAATCTAAGTGCAACTCTGACATAATTACAGTACTTGTAGTGGTATTTAATATCCAAGAACATTTTAAATATGCTTTTTTTCAACTTTACATGCAGTTATTCTTTGGTATGTTGCATTTATTCTGTCCTTAGAAGCACTTTTTTCTTTTTTTTTTTTTTATGCCTTGCCTACAAATGTAGTAGGTTTGATTTTGCCTTTATGGGATTCCTTGCTTTGAAACTAGTACTTGTGTAAGATTTTGTGCTGTAATAATATTTCTGCATTATATTTTGTGGCTTTTATCCTTGACTTTGACATGTTACTTCCAGTCTCTTCCATGCCGCCAAGTAAGTACAGAAGCACTGAATAATCTGGAAAAAAAATTCTAACATATGGTACAAGCACGAACTATTATTTTGATCTTGCTGTAGTAAATGGTATGATTCAAGTGATTTCACTGTTTCCAAATCAGTTTAATGGAAGTGCGGGCTAGGGAAGCTTGAACACCTGCAATGGCCATGTGAAAAAATAATAGTTTTGACATTCTTCAGCACCTTTTGATACCAAATATTTTTTCTTAGATGAGCTTTTTGTAATTTTGAAGTTCTACACTGTTGAGCTTATAAAGAAACTTAATTGAAGTGTACTTCATATCAAGCAGATAATGAGAAGTAATCCAGATATTGCCTGTGGGTCAGATCATGAGAAATAAATTTTAGTAGGGAGTGTGGGTGACATACTTAATTTGTGAAGATAACATTACACATGTGCTGCCTCATTAAATAGAACACTTGAAACATCTTCAAAGCATTAAATATTAACAGTGAAATGATAGCTGTTGCATGGTAACTTTTGCTCTGTAGCCACAGCTTGCTAAAATACATCATAACTAAATTGTAAACTTTTTCTCTGCAGAGCTTATGAACAAGCTGGCATGATGCTAAAGGTATGTTCATTTACTATTTTTTTAAAAAAGTTCTGGCTTATAGTGAAGAATATGCATTGGGCCATTTTTGAATTATATGTAACCAAATTGTATATTGAGGTGATTTTTCTGTTGATTCATAATGTGTGTTGTCGTTGTGCATGTGTGTGTCCCCCTCCAGTGTCAGTTGGTTAGGGAAGCTGCAGAAGCTGCATTTGTAATTGGAGTGTAAAATGTTTTTTTTTTCTGTTTGTAGAGGGAAAGGGGAGGGCCTAATGTCAGAGGTTAATGGATGAGCGGTGCTGCTTCTGCTCCAAACTACCACAAATACATGCCTTACGTGAAAGTTTGGTACTTACAAGTGATTCTTACGGAATTTCACTAGCTCTACAAGTTTGTAAATAAAAGTTAGAATCCTAATAAATAAGGTATTACAGTTTGCTTTGATTTGTCTCATTGTACATAAGCACAGTTCCTGACAGGAACATCCCTCTGGCTATTGCTTTGCAGGAGATGCAGAGACTCCCTGAAGCAGTTCAGCTGATTGAGAAAGCCAGTATGATGTACCTGGAGAATGGAACACCAGATACAGCAGCAATTGCACTGGAACGGGCTGGAAAGTAAGTCTGTCGTGTTGGTGGCTAGAATGTATGCAGCACATAGGTATATCTCTGGTATTTTTTCTTGTCTTTTGATGCTTTCAGGTAAAAAATGCTTTAATTTCATCAGAAGAGAAATGGCTTATGTTTATTGCAGGTTAATAGAAAATGTGAGCCCAGAGAAGGCTGTGCAGCTCTATCAGCAGGCAGCATCAGTGTTTGAAGTAAGTTCCCTTCCCCTCCTCCCCTCCGCAAGGATAAACTACATGAAGATGAATGAATTGGTGATTAGGATCCGTTATAAAGTTAGAAAAGCTAAAAGAAAAAGCTAAAAAGCTTATGGTTAGGTTCTAAATTATTTTTCATTTTTTTCACATACGTGTCTGAGTAATGAGGCTGAAGAGAAGGAGATTATAAAAATCAGTTTGCTTTGCCTTTTCCTCAGTTTGGGACTTGATTGAACCTGAATTTTGTATGTTGCCAAGTTTTCTGCCTTTTGTTGGACAGCCCAAAGGGTAGATAACATGGCTGCTGTTGAGTCCCAGAGCTTAAAATAGTTCTTTGAAAGCAAAGAAGAGTTCGCCTGATGCTCTGCCCATCCTGTGAGCAGATGATTTGCCTTTTTGCTACAGCACTGGCATACTTATTTATTGTCAGCGGTCACATGTTTCCAGATTAGCAAGTTTGCATTGATGTGACTTTGCTCTTGAGTGTGTGGACTGTGGTTATAATAATTAACAGCTGTCACAATTTACAGATGACATACTTAGATTAAAGTTTAGTGGTCTTAATTCTGTGTGAATGAAATATGCATGCATGAGGGTTTTTTTTTGTTCTTTTCTAGAATGAAGAACGCTTACGGCAAGCATTAGAAATGCTAGGGAAGGCATCAAGACTTCTAGTCAGAGGACGCAGGTACAGCTTTATGCCTCCTTTTTTATTGTAATTGAATCTTTAATAGTGATTTTATTTTAGTTTTTTTTTCTTGCTGTTATTTGGTTTATATACAGTTACGTAATTCTGCTTTGAGACGCAGTTCATACTAAAATTCAGTTTCTGTGGGATATGCCATGTTTTTCCAGGAGCCACCTGCTTTGTGTTCTGTGATAGTAGAATGTGGACTGTAAGGCTTTGTTTTCTTTGCGTTTGTTGAAAAGCTAAAAAGCATATACCAGAGCTTAAACTACTTCAGGAATTAATTTTTTTTCTTCCACCAGTAATATGTAGTACTTAAAAATTTAGCTGTGGAATATTAGGAGAATTAGGTGACTAACCTCAGGAAAGAAATCTGTTTGCAGCAGTCTGATTCTGGACTTCTTAAAGAAGAGTATATCTTGGTGTCTCAGTGGGAGTTTATTTTAACTGTTAATTGCTAGCACCAAACTTGACCTGCAGTTCAGCTTGGACTTGCTTCACTGAAACATGTAGTTCCTTTAAGAAATTGCCTGTTTTCTAATTCTACTTAAAGACGCTATTTCACTGTAGAATTGTAGTCAGAAAAGCTAGAAAGGCTTTCACAGAAGGTCTTTCTGTGAAAGCAAGTCCACATAGCTTCTGAAAGATTTGGTTGCTCTGCTGCGTTATAGCTCAAGTGCTATTACTAGTTTTTAGGAGTTTAATATGCTCAAAAGCAGTTACTATGAGTTAATATTGATAGTTCATGGATATCAGACTTACTGATTGTTTACAGTAACTTCATGACATAAAGAAATCTTAGGGTACATAACAAGGTATTCATCTTGTACAATGTTATGAAAAATAAGGTTTCTCTGAATGAATAGCAGCGATGTTCTTAACCTGCATATATACAGAAGGAGTGGCTGACTATATCTTTCTTTATCTGTTCTGTTAGTAAGATCTGCTGATTTTCAGTTGTGTTCTTGTTTATTCCAGTAGACTTGCTAGTGCATTAGTTACACTTTGTAATTAGCCTCATTAGCCTCAGGTTCATTACCCTGTATTCCTAGCACTGATACTCCTGTTCTTTTTGTTTTCTTTTTTTTTTTTTTAGATTAGATGAAGCTGCGTTGTCTCTTCAAAAGGAAAAAAGTATTTATAAAGAAATTGAAAATTACCCAACATGCTATAAGGTAAATTCTAAGAGAGAATTTTGAAGAGTGCATCTTAGAAAGTTTTTCTGGGTAAATAATGGCAGCTGACATCTGACTGACAATATGTACCTCTTGATTCAGGGATCAGTTTCTTGCTAAATGATGAGAATTTGTGGTAGTGCATGTTTCCCCTGTTATCCACAGGAGATGTCAAAACCAGCAAACGCATAAAAAATAAAGATGTTATAAAAAAGGAACTAATCACAAAAACTGTTACTTTGTGCTAGAGTTCAATGCAGTGTTGTAGGAGGTCATGTATTTCACACCTGCTGAGGATATGGCTTACTACTTTATCACTGTTGTTCTATTTTGTGTAAGTATCTTAGAATTATTGTGAGTTGTAATGACCTTTTTCACAGCAAATATTAGTAGTCCCATATTTTTCTCATACTTGATTGTTAATTTCTAAAGAATCATCATGTTTTTTTGTGTTTATTTAGAAAACTATTGCTCAAGTCTTAGTTCATCTACACAGAAATGATTATGTTGCCGCAGAAAGATGTGTGAGGGAAAGCTATAGGTAAGTCTCCTTCAAGTCCTATAATTTTACACTGAATATTTCATTAATGTTGATCTGTTCTTATGAAAGAGTGGTAGAAACACTGTCAAATTGTAAGCCTCTACTTTGGTTGACTTGCAGGACAATAATAGCATTCCCTGGTATAAGGCTCTTGGGAATCTTTTTTTCACTCTTAACAGGTTTAGCTGTAATTATTACAGTAATTCTTAGTTATGTGGGACAGGTGAAATGAGATGAAAATCAGAATTTCTTCCCTTTTTTATTTCCTTGTTAAAAGGTGAGCGGAGTGTGTTATGACTGGCATTCTTGACTTACTGATACCTTTGGGTTGTGTCTTTGTTCCAAATGGAAGAAAGAGGGATTAACTACTGTAAACACATGTTTAGGATTAAAAGTGGGTATTTCTGGATGTTGGTAACTGAACTTTATTTTTTCAGAGTCTTTTTGCCATATATGGAAGCCCTTAAAAAGTGAAATTCTAACTGTATTTTTAATTTTTTTACAGTTTAAGGATGGAAATACAGAGTGCAATCTCAAAACATGTAATAGCAGCATCCCAGTGTAATCAGTTAAACTATCTAGTATGGTGATTAGATTGAGGGAAAGATTAATCTGACTGTTTTTGTTAAAGAAAAGTTTGCAGCACATGAATTACTACATTTCTGGTTATGTTGACCTAGAGGATCTTGCCCTCATACACTCGAAGAAGAAAAGCAAGATTTCTACTTTTCATGACTTTGTTAAAAATAGGTGATTGACCCAAAATATAATTTAGACAGCAGAAGGTATTCCAGTTGAATACATTGAAATGAAGAAGGCATTTGTTACACATGTAGGAGAAAATCTTGGTGTCAGAGTCTGGACTAGTTTTAAACACTGGTTCCAGAGGCTTTCCCAGCAACTCTCAATTTCAGCTTTCATTAAGACTTCAGTAACAAAATACTGAAACAGCATATTTTACCTGAATTGTTTTTAGTGAAATGACTTGAACATATGTTTAAGTTAATTTGTACTTTAGTTTTAGAAATCATTTTTCAAATTTAATCTTTAAACATCTTTCCCTTATTTTTTAAGTCTTCAATTTGTATTTTATATATAGAAACTAATTACAGATTTTTTCTGCATGTGAAGTAGAGGAAAAGCTTATTTACTAGTGAGTAAAAATTGAAGAATTCTAATATTGTCTTTTGTCTTGATTATGGTTCTGGTCTTGCTCTCAGCATGCAAACTACTATTACCGAAAGTTTAATTTTATGGACATGAGCCATGTACATGGAGAAACCACAGTGGTTATAGGCAGTTTTGTGGAATAAGCAGTCCATCAGATTCTTAAGTAGATTGCTGAAATGCCCTAAATAAACTTTTAATTTCCTTCAGTATACCAGGATTTAATGGAAGTGAAGACTGTGCAGCACTAGAGCAACTTTTAGAAGGTTATGACCAGCAAGATCAGGATCAAGTTTCTGAAGTCTGTAACTTGCCACTCTTCAAATACATGGACAATGATGTAAGTAGGCAGTTCCTATGGATTTATCTACCCCGTGCCTGCGAAATTTTGTCTTCTTTCACTTTGCTGCCTATGTAAGTTCCCACATCATTGTTCCTTTGCAATGTTGAGAAGACTTAGGTGAAAGAGCAGTTTGTTATGGGTTTGCTGTGTAAGTTTGACAAGTTGAACAAAAATCGGTTCTCTTCAGTTTGGTTCCTTAGGGGCCAGAACAGTTTGCTGCTTGTGCTTTATCTCAGGATTACCATATAGCTGATACAGTATAAACATTACAAAATATGGTGCCTAGAGGATGGCACTGTTGATTGTGCCCATCCTTCCCACCACCTTTTTTTTGATAGGAAAGATGTGAAGTAAAAGAGACATCTATCAGTGCCAGACTTTGTAACAGTATTGTCCAGTTTTACTTCATTATGTTGAATAGTAAAAATTACGGTACAGGTCTTACTGAAAGCCACTTTTAAGACTTAATATATAAACCATCATTAGATAATGCAAACCTGCATTCTGAATTTTCTTTTCTTACATAAAGTTTGAAACACAGAAGCTGTAAGAGTGTGACAAAATTATTCTATAATAAGCAGTGTCAATATGGATCTTGCATCCCATTCTCAGAATGTTTGAGAGAGAAAAAATGAACCAATGTTAGGCTCATTCTAATCTGGAAAAATATACTCTGAAAGTAGCATCAATTGCTTTTCTATACTGAATGTTTCCTACATGTTTAGTGTGTCAATCAGTTCTGTGCAGTGCAACTCAGCAAGTTGTTACTTCTGTGATAGTGCAGATATTAAACTTTTCTTATAATTGTCAGTATGCCAAGCTTGGTCTTACCTTGGTGGTCCCAGGAGGTGGAATCAAGAAGAAATCGCCAAATGCTGCACAAGACAAAGCAAGAGGACCAGCTGCAGTGGGCTCTCATGCTGATGAGGAAGAGGATGAATATTCTGGTGGACTATGTTAGCTACTGCATAGGTAGTCTTAAATATCTGACTTAGTTGTGATGTTGAGAATATCCAAAGGTACCAGATTTATCAGAGCTTCATTGCAATTGTGATACAGGAATGCTAATATTAACTTGGCAGCTTCTGGGTGCAATGCAGGAGAAAAAGCATGATTGTACCTATCATCTTGAAACATCTTTGGACTTCATTTCTTACCTGGTAGCTTCCTCTGGGCGCTCTCTGCAGTTGATGGGAAAAATTTGAGATAAATTTTTACTGAAAGCACAGTTTAAAAGAAACCAAAACCCTAGAAGCACTGGAATATGGAGAGTGGTACAAATTTTTAAATCCTGGATTTCAACAGCTGACAAAATTTTGTCCTAGTAATAAGTTTGTGATTGTTTTCCGAGTTAAACATACAATCACTCATCTGGCTATTTCTCTCCACCATTAGAGGCAGCCTGTGCCATGCAGGATTTTTCACTAGTATAAACACTAGGGGGAGCATTCAGTTTATTTTCAACATGTTTTTACCCACTGCAGAATATTATTTTACTACCTTATTTTTTATGAGCAGTATCCACATGGATATGGAAAATACTAAGTGAACTGATTTGAAGCCTAAAAATACACACATATCTTTCATGTTAAGAGCTTTATTGATCTCAAAGTCAATGTGTGTGTAGTGTATCATGTCCAACTTGTGAATGGAAAGAGTAGACAACCTTTCTTAGTGTTTTTTGGGAAGCATGCTATAACCAAAAAAACTGAAGGTAGCAGATAATGTGCATTGAATATAAAGCTCTGAAGACACTGTTTAACACAAACTTAGTGGAGTGTTTCAATGATACGTTTGAGTTCAAGAGTGTCCAAAGTGTTTGTTTACTAATCAATACACTTACATTATGAAGACATTCTTTCATATTTTTGACGTGTAGAACAGCTGTCTCTTACAAAGAGCATTTTTCAAACTAGTTCATGATCCAGAGTAACAAAATTTTAATGTGTCTTCATTTTACTTTGGTTTCAAGTCATCATGTGTTTTGCAAGCTTCTGTAGTGTGTTAAATTAGTTTGACCATTTTATGCTTAAAAATTGACATACTAAGAGCTATATCGGTAGTCTGTTTCTTCAGAAGAACCAAATCAAGATTGCACTAGGGTGAGATCACTTGGAATTCATCAGGGATTTGTGTGTGATACATGATGCCCAAAGTTCAATTAAACAATAGACCAAAAGCACAGTGTTAAGTGTTGCTACAGTTTCTGCCATATTAAGGAATTGGACATCTTCAGAAATATCAAGCATATGACTAACATATGTATGTGATGTCTGACATCAGTGTCAGATGTAATTATGATGAAAATAAACTTTTAAAGGGCTAATACTCACTTTCCTTGGGGTGGATGGCTCTCACTAGCATCGTGGTGGGTTGTGCAGTTTGCAGGCAGGGCTGCTGTGAAAGTCATGTTCAATTTAACAGGTGTTCAAAAAACGGTTTCATCTTTTTGTATTATGAAATAATCTTGGATTTGTTATTAATGATGCATATAGACATTTCTTTTGCTCTTCTATAAAACAGTCTAAACAAGATGCTTTTCCTTGAAGATGGTCACAGGTCTACATGAAATACAGTTTTCAAGACTTTCCTGTAACTCTTCTTTTTTGACCACTGGAGCAACTCACTCTGTTTACTCAACTTCTGCCTTCAGGGTTTGTTCATGAAGGTGAACCATGCACTTTTTATGGGGAGTCTTTATTACAAGTACTAAAAAAAAAACGCATGTGTAGGAGCATTGGGAACACCAGCTAATATTCTTCAAGCATTTCCTGCTGCTTCCAATTCTGAAATGAATTTTGTTGAGTGGTCCCAAGGAGTTTGCTTTTTTTGTGTGCATGAACAGTTGCAGATATCTGAGAAGATGATATGCATAGGAAAAATGGTGAAACTTGTGTGTGCTTCTGTGAAAGAACTTGCAGGCTTTATTTAAACTGTGCTTATAACACTAACAGGCCCTTAAAAGAGAAATTAAAATTTATGCATTCAGTTCTTAAAGCGTACTTTTCATATGGCCAAAAAAAAAAAAAGATATGCAAGACTGTCTTCCCCACAACCCCATTACTTTCTATTTTTCCCTGTGCCAAACGTGGAAAATCTGAGATAAACCTGAACATACTAAGCTGCCACTGAACGGGGTTTCTGTGAATCTTAGGCATAGAATCTTAATCTGTGATTGCAATGTTGCTGCAAAGACCAAATCTGAAATGAAAGTGTCTGAAAATAAGATGGTCTATTTTATATAACTTATTCTCCTATTTTAGGCAATGAAAGTGTGATAGGAATGTTAACTGCCTTTTAGTAAATGTCTAACTATAGAAGAAGCTGTCTGTATATTATGTGTTAGTGTTTGTTTCTATTTTTCAAAGCAATTTGCACACTTATGTAAATACCATTTAAATGGTATAAAATGGGAAAGATACCATTTTCAGCAAGGAAGTTTCCAAAATCAGTGTTGACTGTAAAAAAAAAAAAAAAACCACAATCCCCCCAAAAAAAACAAAAAACCAAACAAAAAAACCCACCGCTGAAACTAAATAGTGCATGAAGGCTGTGTGATGGCCAACGCAATGTATATGTAAAATTGAAAGATTTCTAAATTATCTGTAACTTAGTATGGCCAAGTGCAGTGTAGAACCTGTGCTTTATTTGTTCTTTTTCCAAATCTGTGGTGTATTAAGAGTACAAAATGTGTTTGTAACAGCTCTACAGATGCTGCCTCTTGAGAAGAGGCTATGTGTTTCACCAACATGAAAAATAAAACTTGGAACTAATGCATTTGTGCTAGCTTTCCCTGTTGTTGATGAGGTCCTGCTGACACCAGTGCTTGAAAATGAATACTGTTTTTTAATCTCAAGAAGGTTTTCTGTGTGACCATTTCTCTGCAGATCTTGCCACCAAGTATATGCAGGTATATTGTATGATCAAGGACTAAGTCTTGGGAGCCTTTTGGCTCAGGTTTGAGTGTTGGAAGTCAGTGGTGTCTAATCTCCATGGCTTATTCACTAGATAACTGCTTATAGCCCATTTCACTTATCCTGTGGTTTTTGTTTTTCTAAGTGACTTTTTGGTACCTTTCTGCTGGCTTTCATTATTCGAGGTGGTGACACATCTTAGGCAATTCTTGTCCCCTCAGAGTAAAAAGTATGTATGTGTTTTGCTTCTCTGCTGATTGTAACAGCTTGGTTGTTCATTGTTATCTCTTCACTACCCAAAGACTGGGAAATTATTGTATTGGGGGATTGTCAGGCCTGAATTTCCTGCTTTTAATAACCTGAGTTAGAGAGAACAGCTTTACGCAATGTAAGATGTGAGCTCTTTAATGTAAGCGGCGAGGAGAAGCAGACAGGCCAACCCAATATGGGTGATAAGCAACTTCTACTTTATTTGTGACGCAGTTCACACATATATATAGGAGTGGTATTCAGCCACTCCTTCTTGGCATAACAGTATTGGTTAGCCCCCACAGCTTCCTCCACATTCTCCTCCCAGGTCCGGTCTCCGGCCACCTGTGGTGGCCACCCCCTGCCTTGCTTGCACAGCCCTCCGGAACTCTATGGTCCTGCCCTTAGAGTCATTCTGCAACACTTTAACTCTTTAGAGACTTCATCATTGCAGAAAAATCACCTTTCCTACTCTTAGTCAAACTTGCTGGAGTACTTGAAGGCTAAAGAACCTGGCTCTGAAGTTCTGTGTGACAGGAATCATCCCTCTGATGTTGCGAATAAGCAGCTGTAAAAATGATAAGAGCTAAGCTGCTCTTGGAAAAAAATAAAGCTTCTTATAAAACTAAATGATAAAAAAAAAAAGTAGTGAACTTTTTTGAATGTAGGAAATGGATAAAAGAAGCCACCCTAACAACTAGTAGTGGTAATAAATTTGGATTAAGTATATGTAACTTTCCAGAGCAGGGGGAAACCTCTTGGGATCTGTGGTGGTTTGAGCAGAAATACTAACCTCTAAGCTAATGGTCTGTAGAGGCCAGCATCTCTAGGAACCAGAGATGTACCTGTTGGTGATGGTGTGCATGAGTGCTGTATCTGACTACCTCTTATAGGCTGATGCGTCTTTGTTTCAGAGCTGCTGTCATTGAGGTTCAGTTGTGATTTCCAAGTGTGTATGTGGTGCAGCAGTGTAGCCTCCAGCCTGGAACAGAAGCACGAGGCAGCTGCAAGGCTGCACGTACGTTTAAAGAACATATGGCTGTTGTTGGCTTTGTTGAATCTAGTGGGAATAGGGGTAATGAGTGTGGCTGGGCTCCAAGGTCCACGCTGCTGGGATGTCAACTGGTGTGCAACCAGTTTAGATTACTTGACAGAAACTTTCTGATACTGGAGTGACAGAAGTAGGCCCTAGCATGTGTAAAGGGAAAACGAGTTATCATAAGTTGTCTTGTTTGTTTTGGATATGTATTTACGTGCGTTTATTTTGCCTTGTTTCTAAAGTTGGCGTAACCCCAAATGGGTTTGCTTTCCCAAGAGCATTGTTGGTTTCTTGGCGCTAGATGGTGCCGCAGAGCAAGCGAAGAGCTTTCCTTAGCCGTTGTGAAGCCTTTGCTCCTTGTCTAGGATAGATAGTCTTTATGTTTAAATATGCTCAGCTGGAGTACTGATTTGGTTAGAAACATCTGCATGGTGACCTGCTCTTGCTGCAGCTTCTCATGCCTTGAAACACCCTCCTGAAGTTGTTGAAGAAAGCAGTCCTGCAGGGCCAGCCGATCACCTTCACCTCCTGCACTGGGTACCACTGTGCCACTGGCAGGAGGCAAGGGTACTGCTCTGCAGGAGAGTGGCCCTGGTTGTAGGGAAGAAGGCTTAACCCGTGCTGTGTTTTCATGGTACCTGGGAATAAATACAGGTCCAAATCCTCTCTTCCTCTTGTGCTGATACCCATTTCCTTCTCACCTGCCTCCTTCCCCACCCCCTCCAACTTAGACAGATGTGCTTATATTTTTGCCAGAGTGTTTTATCACATGAGAAATGGGCCCTTCAAGAGCTTTGAATCCCAGCTGTGATGGGTATGATTGATTTGCCTTTCTCTTCCCTTTTCTGACTATAGGCTTGAGAAATTAGTGATTAAGAGCCAGGTTACAGAGGGTGGGTGGTTGAAGAGTACATAAAACAGTAGCCTGTGTGCTAGTAGAGATTTCTAGGGTTGGCTGGTGCTGCTACAATTGCAACTCTCCTTGCAGCCACAAAATTTTAGGAAATATCTAATGGACAAAATGCAGCATTAGGGACAGAAATCAAGAAGCCGTGGGGGAAAAAAAGTTAACTGAATATAGGAGGAGTGAGGAAGTCAGTCATAATGCAATGGTATGTTGGCTGATGGAAGAGAGGGCTTCTGCTGGAATTTGCCAAAAGGACTACACTTCAAAAAAAAACATGCCACTTTCTGATTCAGCTGCAGAAGCATGGAGGGAGGGAGGACTGGTGTGACTGTTCCAGTCATGCTGGGGAGAGCTTCTGCTGCCGTGTGTGATGTGAGGCAGTATGAGCGCAGATACATTTTGGGAATTTCCTCCTTTGTCTATCGCTAACTGACTGTAATTCAGGAATTTAAGGTTAAAACCTTATAGCAGCAGACAGGGACCGTGTTCTTCTGTGTGTGTATGCAGCTGACAGCTTTCTAGCCAACACTTTCTGGGCTGCACTGCTCAACAACTGCCCCAGAGTAATTGTGTTAGTAATAATATAGCAGAGAATTCATGAAGTGTAAAGACCTATGGTACCCCATATGTCTTATTGGTGCCAAGTGTTTTATTTAACTGATCACCATCCAGTAAATTTCTGGCTCCTGTCTTGTGTAAATGTATGATTTTTTCCAAGCTGAATAGCTGAACGAAGAATGAAGATCCTCTCAGCTGCACCAGAGCCCAGAGCACTGGCTGGTGTGTAAGGAATGAGTGGTAAAAAGTGGGTGGACTTGGAGAGTAAGGCAGCTGTGTAGCAACACTAACTGAGCAAAATATGTGAAAGCTTTGATAACAGAGATGCAAAAATGCTGGTATATTTAAAGCTGCTTTTTTCAGTAAGATATTATTCTGGTACTTCACTGGTTTTAATTTTTGTCCTCTCAAACTTACCAGATAATGCATCCTGTGGGAATTCCTGAGAACTAATTTTCTTTGAAACACCAGTGGAGAGCTATTTCTCCCTGCTTTGAAATGCTTAAGATTATTCCTGATGAAAACCATGAGTTTGGTGACAAGCCCTGCTGCTGAGGAGCACTGGAAAGGAAAACATGCTGTTGATTCAGACAGAGGAAGATACATAGAATCATAGAATAATTAAGGTTGGAAAGGACCTTAAGATCATCTAATTCCAACCCCCCTACCATGGGCAGGGACACCTCACACTAAATCATATCACCCAAGGCCTCGTCCAACCTGGCCTTGAACACTGCCACAACCTCCTTGGGCAACCTATTCCAGTGCCTCAACACCCTAACAGGAAAGAATTTCCTCCTTATATCCAATCTAAACTTCCCCTGCTTAAGTTTTAACTCATTACCCCTTCTCCTATCACTACAGTCTCTAATGAAGAGTCCCTCCCCAGCATCCCTATAGGCCCCTTCAGATACTGGAAGGCTGCTATGAGGTCTCCATGCAGCCTTCTCTTCTCCAGGCTGAACAGCCCCAACTTTCTCAGCCTGTCTTCATACGGGAGGTGCTCCAGTTCCCTGATCATCCTTGTGGCCCTTCTCTGGACTTGTTCCAACAGTTCCATGTCCTTTTTATGTTGAGGGCACCAGAACTGCACGAAATAGTCCAAGTGAGGTCTCACAAGAGCAGAGTAGAGGGGCAGGATCACCTCCTTTGACCTGCAGCTCACGCTCCTTTTGATGCGGCCCAGGTTACAGTTGGCTTTCTGGGCTGCAAGTGCACACTGAAGCCGGCCCATGTTCATTTTCTCATCAACCAACACCCCCAAGTCCTTCTCTGCTGAGCTGCTCTGAATCTCTTCTCTGCCCAACCTGTAGCTGTGCCTGGG